TATTTCTTTTTAGGTAGATCTTTTATATATTTATTAAAAAATGATCTTTTTCCTTTCCAGAGAAATGTTTAAGAAAGTTATACATTTTTTGAACCGGATTTTAAGTGGAGGCTAAGTTACACTTCAGTTTTAGGAGAAATACAGAACAGTTTTGTTTTCTTAAAATCAAAACAAACTCAATGAAAAGTCAGAACCCTAATTCTCAAGTGTTTGCATAAGAGACTTGGCCAAAGGCATAAAGCAGGTTAACTTTTCTGAGAGTCGTGTGAGGATAATGATTTGAGAGTCAATTGAAATAATACATATTAAAGTATCTTTAATACGGTCATGTGCCATACAAATGAAAGTTACTTTCAGTCTGGACTTGAATGTGAAAAGTAGTATGTACCTCAAAGTTTATGCAGACAACTCAACATTTTTGGGAAATCGTTTCTAAAGTTTAACAGACATTCCTACATAAATTCCTTCTATTTCTCACAAAAGGTCTTTATTCTGTAGCCTAAGTTCATTATTTTCTCTTGTTTATCCCTCTGAAGAACTAACAGAGGTGCCAGTCATCCTTTGTATAACACTAATGTTTATGGATTCATTCCTCCATTTTTTAATTAGTTACAATGTGCCGGGTATTACTCTGATCTACCAAGTTTATTTTACACAATTTTGTGATGAGATGACATCATGTGTGGGTTTGTTTTTTAAAATTTCATTAAACCTCCATGGCTCAAAAGGGGCAGAATGAGAAGCTATGTCATTCTGTTTTAAAGATGAAGGTTGGGACTTCCTTAATTGTGGGCCCCCATATCTGTAAAAAGGTAGGAGGAAGCTGCTAGCATCATTTTGATGTTTTCTGCCTCCTGTTCCACAGTGTAGATAGAGTACCTTTCATGTTCTTTAGAGCCATGGTGACAGAGCTGTAATTAAAATAGGCACAGGAACTTTTGAAGAGTAGGGTAGGTATCCTGCTTTCTAAAGTGTAGCCTCCTCACAGGTAATAGAACTCTGTTCTAAGGAGAAAAGCCAGGGCCAAGATTTTCCTATTGCTAGTCTCCCTCAGTGAAGTATCTGGGAGAAGGTTATGAAGTCAGAGCTCTTATATGAGTGTACAACTATGCATAGGCAGGCACACTCACAGAAAGAAAGACATTTCAGTGATCCAGGCAAAATTGATATTTCAGCTGAATCATGAAGACCATTTACCTTAGTTTTCAGACTCCTGTGTCTGTGCCAAGGTGTTCATCCAAAAATCAGCAAAAAATAAAAATAAAAAATAAGAACAAACTTTAACATAATTGTCTTAAATGAATTTTTGTCAAGAAAGGTTTTTTTGCATGAATTGACAGTATGTATCCTAAAGTTTTAATTGAGTTTTATCTAAAACATTGAGAAAACTTATGCTTATCTAAAGTTTAGATGCTTTTATGAATTCTGTGAATTTTAACTTTGTATTAGTATTATATAATTTTTGAAACTCAGTAACTAGACCAAAAAGACAGTTTTTCATAACTGATAGCCAATATAATCTGTAAGGTTCTCTGAGAACTCTTAAAACTTTACCTTTTAAAATAAACTTCTCGGGGCGCCTGGGTGGCGCAGTCGGTTAAGCGTCCGACTTCAGCCAGGTCACGATCTCGCGGTCTGTGAGTTCGAGCCCCGCGTCGGGCTCTGGGCTGATGGCTCAGAGCCTGGAGCCTGTTTCCGATTCTGTGTCTCCCTCTCTCTCTGCCCCTCGCCCGTTCATGCTCTGTCTCTCTCCCAAAAATAAATAAATGTTGAAAAAAAAAAAATTTAAAAAAAAAAATAAATAAATAAAATAAAATAAACTTCTCCTTTTAAAATTCTTTAAATAAATTTTAGTTCTTCCCTTGACACCACTAGATTCATTCTGCCACAGTTCATTAGTGTCTCTAGTAAGAAGTGCAAGTAAAAATTTGTAATATTAGAGATGCATCTGATGGTGGAGTTACTGCAGGTTCAAATATGTTAACTGCTGCAGAGCTAACACATTCTAAGCCTGTGCCTGGTCCAAAAAAAGGTTTGCTGTCCAGGACACAGGGTCATATGAAATGAACTCTTGAAATACAGTTCCTTCCTCTGAGGAGCACATTGTATTTAACAAATTTGTGAAACATGCTAACCTGTGTTGTCCTTCGCTGTCTTTAGCAGTGAATTGTGAAGCATTTCCTATCAAGATAAATTTTCACAGTACCCTTACACATTCTAATTCAAAAAAATTAATATTGGAAAACAGTGTATTTTTTTTTTTTACTTTAATACAAATGTTACATTTATGACCAGTAAGGTCCTATTTTACTTTTTAGCACATCAGTTTATTCATCTAAGTTGGGGTATTTTGCTATTAACTAATATGTTTAAAGGATGAACAAGTTAATATTTATAAAATGCTTTGAAAGTAGTTAAAACAAAAATCCATATAACCTTGTGGAGTATTAGTATCATTTTCATCTTATCATTGTACTTCCTTAAAGATGATAGAGTAATCATTTATTCAGGACCATCTAACAAGCCACTGGCTTAATTAGTACTAGAACTCAGAGTTCTAGGACTACTTTTGCTTAATAACACCAACTTTAGGTCAGGTGGCTAGCTCTTTGGAGAATAGAAATAGAATTCAGTTGACCTTGGCATTTTTGAGAAAATGGTCGGTTAAATGTAGAATTGTTTTTACAGGGACAATCATAGAGTAATTAAATTAAGAGACAGGAAAGAAATTTTCTGTACTCTTTGTTTTTAAACAGAGTTTATTAGAGAAAATCACTACTGGACAAAATAGAGTTGGGGATGTAGCAGGGAAGATTAAGATTGGTTATCAGGAAAACTTTTAAAGTTATACAACTTTTGAACCACGGAATATAATTTTGGAAGAAGTAGAAGAATCACTTAAGGTTATACAGAGGCTCACAACTTTGATTTAGCTGTATGTTTTTGGAAAACAGCTTAAGGCAGTGCTTCTGGTAAGGAATTTTATGGACATTACCCTTAGAGTCTAATAGATTGTAATATTGTGAGCTAGAGAAGCTGTGTGTGTGTGTGTGTGTGTGTGTGTGTGTGTGTGTGTGTGTGTGTGTGTGTATGTGTGTTTTTGTGTGTTTGTGCACGTAATGGTGACTCTGCTATTCCCTGCCTGGTATCTACATGTTTTATAGCCATATGGCCTGCTGTAAATTAGTGCATGTTTAGGGCGGAGTGTCAGAACCATCAAATCCAATGTAGATCCAACTGGACCTAGATGAGTTCCAGCAGTGGAGCTGGATCTTTGTGGCTTTTTTCTTAAATATAAGTTTCAGATAACTCTCCTGAGTTCACAGATGGCCAAGAAAGATTGCTCCCAATTTTGGATCATTATTGCTCACAAAAAGTGTAAGGAGGGCATCCTTTTCTGAATCCATTGTGCTTTCCTGAAGAAGTATGCCCACTCCCTGCCTGTTATTTTCTGACAGTGGAATGGTTTTCTATTGTCATGCTCTCCCACTAATCTCACAGAGTAGGTAAACAGAAAGCCAAGGGTGAGGGTAGCTCAGAAGAATGCAGACATTCTTAAATTTATATTTATGTGACTGTAACACCTTAGGAAATATTTTCATGCTCAGTGAAATCCTTTCTTACACATAAATGTCTTAGTGCTAATATCTTCTTCATTTAACAAAAAAATTACATTTAAATAGTTCAGGTTTTAAGCATTTAAACTACATTTAAATTACATTTAAATAGCTTGGTTTTAAGAAAAAATTGTCCACAAATGTATGTGTGTATGATTTATATTTTTTTATTCTTTTGAACCATTACCTTGAAACACAGAAAATACAAGAAAATACATTACCTTTTTATACAGATTATAAAAAGAGTGATTATTTTACAAAAGGCTTTTTCACATTACCAACAAATTTATGGAAATTGTCTTTTAAAAAGCAAGTTTCCCAGAGTGCCTGGGTAGCTCAGTCATTTGAGCGTTCGACTCCTCATTTTGGCTCAGGTCATGATCTCACAGTTTGTGAAATTGAACCCTGCATTGGGCTCTGCACTGACAGTGCAGAGCCTGCTTGGGATTCTTTCCCTCCCTCTCTTTCTGCCCCTCCCTTGCTCGTGTGCTCTCTCTCTCCCTCTCAAAGTAAATAAACAAAAAGAAGTTTCCCTAATGCAGTTACAGTATTTGATTTTACAGATGTAAGTCATATAATACAAATAGCCATTTCAGTCATATATACAAATAACCAGTACATTTCAGATGTATAGATTTGTGTATGAGTATTTTAGTTAAAGTTAAATACTCAAAATAAAAATCAGTAATTTGCCACATAAAAAATATAAAGTAGCCTACTATTAGTGTACTACTATTAGGCTACTAATTAGCCTATTAGTTACTATTAGTATAACTCTAAGGGAATATTATAGGAGAAGTAGTCATAAGAGCTTAACAAGTAAGACTTTTAAAAAAAAATTTTTTTTTTAATGTTTATTTTTGAGAGAGAGAGAGACAGAATGGGAGCAGGAGAGGGGCAGAGAGAAAGGGAGACACAGAATCTGAAGCAGCCTCCAGGCTTTGAACTGTCAGCATGGAGCCTGACGCAAGGCTCGAACTCCCAAACCTTGAGATCATGACCTGAGCTGAAGTCGGATGCTTAATCGACTGAGCCACCCAGGCGCCCCTAACTTTAATTTTTCTTTTTTTTTTTAATTTTAAAGAGGGAGAGGGAGACTGCAAGCGCAAGCAGGGGAGAGGGGCAGAGGGAGAAAGAGAGCTGGAATCTTCAGCAGGCTCCACACTCAGTATGGAGCCCAAACTTTGATCTCACATGATCTCACAAACTGAGATCATGACCTGAGCTGAAATCAAGAGTTAGATGCTTAACCAACTGAGCCACTCAGGTGCCCCAAACTTTTTTTCAATCTTAAGTAAATGTATAATCATTTTAAATTTAATTTGATAATGAGTCCACTGCAAAATCTAAAATCATAATTTTATTAGTTTTTTTATATTCCAGGTTTTGATTACAACAAGGACAGCTTCTGATAATTTTAGCACCCAGTATGTTTTGGATGGCAGCGGCCACATAATTTCTCAAAAACCTTCACATCTTGGTCAAGGTAAGAGAGGAGCTTTGTAGTTTTGCCTTTTCTTTCTTGTTTATTTTATTTTTTTCTTGTTTATTTTTTTAAAAGTTGTTACATCTCAAATTCAGATGCATTACTTCAGGTTTGCTCGTGATAAAGGGTAGTTAACTTCCAAGTGAATATTCAACCCCTACTTTAGTCACCAATCTCTTAAATACTTAGTTTTCTAAAGAGAGACTGTTAAAAGACTATGGAGAGTATAGACATTTTAACAGTATTCATTCTTCCAATCTTGAGCATGGAATGTTTTGCTATTTCTTTGTGTCTTCTTTAATTTCTTTCATAAGCTTTCTATAGTTTTCAGCATACAGATCTTTTATGTCTTTGGTTAGGTTTATTCCTGGGTATCTTATTGTTTTTGGTGCAGTTGTAAATGGGATCAATTCCTTGATTCCTTTTTCTGATGCTTCATTATTGGTATATAGAAATGTAATCGATTTCTGCACGTTGATCTTATATCCTATGACTTTACTGAATTCACGTATCAGTTCTAGCAATTTTTTGGTGGAGTCTTTTGGGTTATCCATGTAGAGTATCATGTCATCTGTTAAGAGTGAAAATTTGACTTCTTCTTTTTCAGTTTGTATGCCTTTTATTTCTTTCTGTTGTCTGATTGCTGAGGCTAGGGCTCACAGTACTGTGTTGAACAACAGTGGTGAGAATGGACATCCCTGTTGTGTTCCTGACCTTAGGGGGAAAGCTCTCAGGTTTTTCCCCATTGAGGATGATATTAGCTGTGGAACAAACTGAGGATTGCTGGAGGGGAGGTGTATGATAAGATGGGCTAAATGGGTGATGGACTTTAAGAAGGGCATTTGTTGGGATGAGCACTGAGTATTATATGTAAAAGATGAATCACTGGGTTCTCCTGAAACCAATACTACACCGTATACTAACTAACTTGAATTTAAATAAATTAATTTTTAAAAACAGACTATGGACAAAAACATGGATTAGTTACTCTTCTGTAAAAACTGTAAGAGCAATTATTTTGCTATTGTTGGATCACTTAGTGTCCTCTTTATATGTGAAGGATATTTTATTGAAATGCCTAAAACATTATTGATTTGGTAATTGTAATAAACCATATAATTAAGATACTATGATTAAATAATTAAAATATATCTGTTTATGGAAAACTTGAAATGTATGTGCAAATAAATAGAATAATGTACCCATCACTCAATTGCAACAACTCTTAGCTCATTGCTAATGTTACTTCATCTAATAATATTGCTCTATTAATTATTATTACAGTTCTTTCGTGTTTTATACACTTATGTAATTTTATTACATTTTAGTTGACATCTTATGTTTTTATGTTCCTTTACTGTCCACTTACAACAAAAAAGAAAAGCTTTTCAGGCTTGAGTTTCATGTATCTCCTTTAATTGTTTCCATACCACTAACTTCCGGTAATGAGTGTTTAAAGTTGAGAGAATGTTGAAGGTATGACCTCTTTAGTCATGTTCAAAAGAATTATTTGATCTGAAAGGATTTGTTGCTGTTTGCCCTTCTTTTCCAATTGAATTATAAATTCATTTTTTAATTTTGTGGTCCCTCATTGTAATTTATTGAAGTACTATATTTTTTCTTTAGTTTCTTCCAATTTTAATATTAAATTATTAGATCTATCTTTTTAATAATTACCATCTTTTTTCATTAAAATATATTTATTATGTCTTAATACTGATACCAAATTCACTTTTTCTCTTATTTTTTAATCTTCAAATTGCTGATTAATTTGCATATTAAGAATTTATATTTTTATATCCACACAAAGGAAAGAGTCAGTTGGAACTTCTAAGAAAAAACTTTTTTTTTTTGGCATTTACTCAGTTAATAAAAATGAGCTCATCTTGTAGCTGTTTAATTTGATGTATGATAATATTGTACATATTTTACTTAAAAATAATAGACTGTGATTCTTTTTCTTTTTTATGTACTGAAGGTTACAAAGGAGAAGGCTTTTTTTGTTTAGTATAGTACCTTTCCAGAAATGTTCTGACCCCAATTCTGAGGAGTTCAAATTAGGAGGCCATTAGGAGATATTTGGGTGGCTCTCCAGTAGAGTACTTTGAAGTAATCTAGTCACCTTATAAAACTTAAATGTATTTATTTTTATCTTAGTAGTAGCCAGTCTAATCTGGATGGCCTGTTGCTCTGCATCACTCATACTTCTCATGCTTTTCTGTGTTCATCACCATGGGAACTATGAAATAGCAATACTTAAATATGGAATCCTTCTGATCTGCCCATTTGTTGATTGATTTTTCTTTTCTTGCTGACCCAAGTCTTCTACTTTGAGTGAGACTAGGTATGCATATTAAGGAACTTCTGTAGTCAGTAAATGAACCTTATTTTCTTTAGCATATTCCTTTTATCTTAAGAAACAGCATACTTGGAAGGTCAGTAGTTGTGAAACTAGTAATTGCCTTTCATGATTCATTTTTATCTCCTAATTATAGTTGGTTGGCTAGGAAAACAACAAAGAATCAAGCTCTTTTAAATTTCTGTAGATGGACATATTATAGAAATCTACAGCACTTTTAAAAGCTTTTTACATTTATATTGCCTTAGTGCTGATAGTTTTTGAGTGATTGGATCACAGACTCACATTTCACCACCAGCTGTCATTCAACTTCCATTTAAATATTTTCTGTGTAAGATAAAACTACAGTACAACCATCCTAATTAGTACCTGTGCATTTAGGGTTCTTGTAGATAAATTTCTGCAGTGGTGTGAACATCCTTGCTTCACAGTTACTCTTCATATCATCTGATCAGAAGATGACACCTAACTGTAGGTGCTGGGACAACTTAAAGCAAAATCTTTTTTAGACACTGGAAAATTTGTTACCCCTTAATTTTTTTTTTTTTTTTTTTTTAACATTTATTCATTTTTGAGAGAGAGACAGAGTGTGAGTAGCGGAGGGGCGCAGAGAAAGGGAGACAAAGAATCTGAAGTAGCTCCAGGCTCCGAGCTGTCAGCACAGAGCTGGACATGGGGCTGGAACTCAGTGAGATCATGACCTGAGCTGAAGTCAGACGCTTAACCAACTGAGCCACCCAGGCACCCCTGTTACCCCTTTAAAAACCATATTTAAGATGTTTAAAAATAGTTTACTAGAGATTTCAGTTCTGGTTTTCCTGGGTGTAGGTATTCGTTTTGTGGATTAATTTAGCCCTTTAAAATGATGTATGTGCTTAATAGTGTGTCATTTTAAATTACCCTTCTGTTCACTTCTGTTTTAAGACACTTAAAAATTTAAGGGGCGCCTGGGTGGCGCAGTCGGTTAAGCGTCCGACTTCAGCCAGGTCACGATCTCGCGGTCCGTGAGTTCGAGCCCCGCGTCAGGCTCTGGGCTGATGGCTCAGAGCCTGGAGCCTGTTTCCGATTCTGTGTCTCCCTCTCTCTCTGACCCTCCCCCGTTCATGCTCTGTCTCTCTCTGTCCCAAAAATAAATAAACGTTGAAAAAAAAAAAAGAAAAAAAATTTATAAGAAATGTAAAAATAATTTTAAATTATCTTACAATAACTTAATAAATTATTTGTTGTAATCATACCTTTTTTCTGTTATTACTTCCATTTCCTTTACCCTAGATAATCAGTAGTAAGCTTTCTAAATTGATTTACCCTCCTGGCAAATTCTTTTAACATATCCTAGTACTTCTGCCATAGGAATTTCTCAGGTATCAAAAATAGTATATTTAAAGTACTCTGATCAGGGTCATTCCTTTCCTTACCCTGTTACTAGAGTAGAGCATCGTGTTCTTTGTAAATCCCTGTTAGGTATGATTGTGCATGCATTGGAAGATTTTTTTCATGTTGAGACTGAAACTTTATTCATTAAATAGTTTTTAAAAAGTTTGATGTAGTCAAGCAACCCTACCTCTTTACATTAGGAATATAAATAGCTAGCTGCCTTTATAAGTGGCATAACATAGGGTCATGTAAAAATATAACAGGGAACATATTATAGGATTGCAGTTTAATTCTGGTGTTTGTAGAATGTGCTAAAGTTAGAGAGCTGAGCAGTTCTCTTGTAAAATATGATAGTATACTAGGGCCTCCTCCCTATTGGCCAATATTACTTGGTACTTTTTTTAAGGATACACATTTCATTTGGAATCAACATAGTTTTCCATCATTAAGTTTTATTCAAACATATATAATTCTTGGCTTATTGTTAAATCTCAATTTGCTCTAAGAGAACATTTTTAACTGCTGAAGCAATAATTTATCAGTTAATATATGGATTAATTATAGTGTGGTCTTTCACGTATAACATATTTAAAAAGTCAACAAGTACCTTTTCGTACATTTGTATTTTGCTTTATTGATTTCTGCCTGCCTTCCTTCTCACTATCTGTCCACAGATACACAGATATACACAGATATACTGTCACCACAGCTACAGTATATGCTATTATATTTGTCACAGGCTAGTGGAGAACACAGATGAGTTAAAGGAACTCACAGAGTAGTGGAGAACACAGATGACTAAGTAATGACAGTAAAAAGAAGCCACCAGCTGCCTAGAGGAAGGTTAGGGAGTTTTTCAGAAAAGTTATCATTTGAGTTTGAAGATGGTAGGTGAGAAGGGGTGGGGGTTTAACCTTGTAGCAAGAGAAGAAAGATGAAGAGGAAAAGCACCAATTGAAGAACTATGTCACAAAGAAGACAAATACCATATGATTTCACTCATATGTGGAACTTAAGAAACAAAACAGATGAACATGGGGAAAAAAAAGAGAGGCAAACCATAAAACAGACTCCTGATTATGAAGAACGAATGAGGGTTGCTGGAAGGGAGGTGGGCAGCGGGATGAAATGGGTGAAGGGTATTAAGGAAGGCACTTGTGATGAGCACTGGGTGTGGTATGTAAGGGATGAATTACCAAATCCTGTACCTGAAACTAATATTACACTGTATTTTAGCTAAATAAAATCTAATAAAAACTTGGAGGGCAAAAAAGGAAGTTAAATGAGTTAGGTTCAAGAAAAAGATGAGTAGACAAGAAAAGTACTTGCATCCCTGGGAGCATTAACTGAGTCTGGGGGCATAGGTGGGCAAAGGAACAAGTCTGCCATGAACAAGGCATCTTTTATGGCCCTAGGAGGAACCAGCTGAACTTCTTTAACAGCCATATGTAAGCTGACATGAGATATTGGAGGATGGGATCCTCAGAAAGAGTTGGTTCACCTCAGATGCCAGATCTCATCAGGACTTACACTTAGTAAGCAGTGATAAAGAAAATTAGGACTGAGCTAGAGAGACAAAGTTTTGCAGTGCTAGAGATCCCAAAACCTTGCTAGAAGAAAAGACCCCATTCCATCTTTAAGACATTTGAAACGAGAAGTGAACTAGAGCTAAATAAAGGGGCAGCTCAGCTCCAACCCAGATACATTCTTAATTATATTGAAGAGATTCTCTCTTTAGCTACTTGACAGAGGAAATAAAGTGCCTTCTCTGGGGGAAAATACCTACTTACGTATCTATTTTTCTTTCATTTACTTATGTATCTATGCAATGTCTGGCAAAAATAAAAATATTAAGAAACAAAGGAAAATGGGATCTATAAGAGAAAAAAATAGTTGATATAAGAAAACAAACATGACCTCATATTTGAATTAGCAGACAAGAACTTAAAACAACTATGTTAAAGAATTTAGAGGAAAAGATGGTCAAAATTGCTAAAAAGGTAGACAATTTCAGCAGAGAAATGGAACTCTAAAAAAGAACCAAGTGAAATTTCTAAAACTGAAAGTAAAAGTTTATTTCGTATAACCAGCAGTGAGCCACTGAACCTTTTTAGGTAGAGGGTGAATGTCATGGTATTTATAAAATTAATTAGAACACTGTAACTCCTACCATAAACTATGTCTTATTATAAGAAATGTTATCTTGAACTAAGTTTTGAAGGAGGTAAAGGGACTTGACATAGATTTGAAACAGATTTTTAGGATAGAACAGGCCTAAAAGACTTACACAATATTGGCAGTAAGAGGGAGAGGGAAGAATCAGTTAAATCTAGAGTATCTGCCTTTGGAAACTGTTGGATGTTAGTGTTATATGAGAAAGAGGATTAAGTGTAAGTATCAGACGTAAGAAGGAAAAGAATGAGTTCAGGTCTGGGTGTGGTTGATTTGAGGTGGCTTTGGGACATTCAGGTGATATTGAGTGAGCGTTTATTTATAACTTGAATGCTGTCAGTTTCATATGTATATTTTAGTAAATTCTAAGATGTGTGTTTTCTCACATTTTGACGTCTCTAAAAACAGGTCGTGGCTTGTAATTAATGGCCTCCCCAAATCCTTTTTGGATGGGAAGTTTTGTGCATTATTGATAATTCATGTGTTGATTGCAGGAATAAACAACAGTTTCATATTTTTTTTTGCAAAACAACAAATGCTTTGTGAGACCTAAAAAGAGAATATAGCCACAAGTGAAAAAAACTGGGTTAAGTACAAAAGGTTTGCTATCACATGCCAGGCACTGAAATTGAAGACACAAGAGGAAATTGCCATATCAGTGAGGATAGATAAAAGAAATATCTAAGCAGTGAGAGGCTGGTGTGGACCAATTCATGTATTGCACAGGACTGTTGTTAAGGCATTGTATCATGAATTATTTGGCATATATTTTCTTTTTCAGAGGTTCATAAAAGTATAGTGTTTCTTATAACTTTGATCAAGAATCATTGGCATACATGTAGTAGTTGAAACTTTGGGCGTGGAGGAAATATCTAGAAAGAACATAGAGTGAAATGAGAAAAAGGCATAAGAGGTCTCTGATGATAGGGTCTGATGCACTCTGCTCTGAGTGTGTCCTTTGTTTAGCAGGAAGGCAGAGTGCATACCTGTTGTGATTGCTGGACATGTGCACTCCTTGATCTCTGTCAACTTCACCTCAATGTGAATTTGGCAGTAGCTTGTTTACTTTCCTAAGGCAGAAAATGTAGCACCACAGTGTTACAAGTGAGAAATACCATGGTGTTCCAAGGACTTTAATTCTGTGTGTGAAGGTGACATGTTAAATTTAGGCCAAAAAAATACCTACCTAAAAATGGAGGAAAACAAAAAAAAATTTTAATTAAATTATTAGTAATGTAATATGCTGATGAACTTACCTGATCAAGAGAAAAGAAGCAGGAAAACATCAAATGTGAGCAAAATAGAAATACAGCTTTTCCCTTGTTTTTTTTCCCCTCAAAGATCTTTTTTTCCTAAGATAAAAAAAATTGTATATATTTGTAAAATAAAGTTTCAAAAATTATAAAAACACCATGTGTCCCTGATAACTAAGAAAACAGTCCAAACAAATTTGGGGTTTATTCTTATTACCACATTTGTGTTTTTTTCTTCTATGCATTCATTTCTGTGCATGCATTTCTATTTGTTATTCAAAACTTTTTTGTTAAATGCCTGTAGGTTATTAGTCATTGAGGTGCTGGGGCTGTAATGTCATACATGGTACATAATCATTTGCTCTCATGCTTCTTGTATTCTAAAAGGGGAGGCGGACACAAATTTTTTCAAATATTGATAATTTCTAGGAAGAAATAAAACATGGTTTCACTTTGGGAGAACCAGTCTTTGATAGGGCATTCAGGGATGGATTCTTTAAAGAGGTGATACTTAGGTTAGGATCTGAAAGTTGATAAAGGAGTTAGCCTTGCAAAAGGTAGTAGGGGGAAGACCATATGCAAAAGTTCTGAGGTGCAAATAAGTATGATGTGTTGGAGGACACACCAGAAGGAGAACATTGGTAGGGAAGGAAATTGCCATAGTCAAGAATATATAGGTCCATATAAGTTTTAGCCCTTTTTATTCCCAACCCCTTTACTCCAGTTATCCAGTGTTATTAATAATAGTGTAAAACAGTTTCATGCTACTGTTAGGCCCTCCCCTACATCTCTTTCATTTCAATAATTCCTATTTCACAGTTACATTGCAAATGCCAGCCATGTTGCCATATTATGTTTACATTTGGCTAAAACTCTTTGCTTATCAGTTTTATTTTCTCATCTTCTTCTGTCATAAAATTTCTATTTTGATATAATTCTCATTTGGCTAGTGCTCATCCACCACTGTTTTAATAAAATATACTTGGGGAATGAACTTCTGAATCCTTGCAGTGTCTTCATTTTATCCTTATACATAGCCCTTACTGGGTGTAAGTTTCTAAATTTCTTAAACTTACTGGGTGTAAGTTTCTTAATTACCCCTCAATCATTTGTAGATTGTCTTCTAGTGTTATAGTTAAGAAATTTGATGCTAGCATTTCCTCATAAGGAACTTACTGTCTCTGAAAGTTTCTAAAATTTTTTCCTTACCCTTAAATTAATCCTAAAATTTAGGATTTCCAGTGGAAGTGTGGTGTCTCTTTCTCCATATATACATACACACACACACACACACACACACAAATATTCCTGCTTGTAGTAAGCTCTTGAAATTTGTACTAAAGACTTTAACTCAAGAAAATTTTCTTCTGTTTAGTTAAACCTGTATTTGTTTCTTTTTCTCTTCCTGGAACTCCTGATTTTATGCTAGGGTTTCTAAGTCTTATATTTTCCTCATGATTGCCATTCTGTTTTGTTCTTTTTTGTGAGCAGTAGGTCAAAGATTGACCTATTGCAGCAACTTTTAGCCTTTCTGACTTTCGTTCACATAGTACATTTTAATCATACAAATCTAATCAAAGCAAAAAATTCTTGATGCAGTATATACTCTTACTATGTGTGATACACTCTATTTTCTGCTCTTGTTTAGTATATTCTAGACTTTATTTAATTTAAAAAAAATACTAGTTGCTATATATACTAAATCAGTGATTCTCAACCAAGGACAGTTTTGCCTCCCAAGAGACATTTGGCATTGTGTGGAGACATTTTTATTGTCATGACTGAGTTGGATACTGCTGGCATCTAATGGGTAGAGGCCGGAGATACAATTACACATCCTACAATGCACAGGACAGCCCCCTCAACAAATGTCAGTAATGCCAAGTTGAAAACTGTACACTAAATTGATTTTTTTGACTTCTCAGTGCTTTGTTTCTCAACCCTGGCAGTACAGCATTAGAATCACATGAGAGGATTGATTTACTAAGTTGAGATTAGCTCATGACTGGTAGTTTTAAAAGTTCCTCAATGTTTAAAAAACACAGATTTATGGTATAGTAATGAGAAAATATCCAGGCCTAATTGTGTGTGTGTGTGTGTGTGTGTGTGTGTGTGTGTGTGTGTGTGTGTGTTTAACAAAAGCTGGTTATTAATCTGATATGTAAGCATTATAATATTTATACTTTTATTCAACTTTTTAGTTACTACACTAGTAAAAAGAAAATCTTTGTGTTAGATTATACTGTGTTTTGAATATTCGTTGTTCAGAAGATGAAATTAAACCAGACAGACATTATTTCAGATGAGAATTTTTAGTGTAGTAATTAAGGTTATCACATTTGCTATATTTTAGCCTTATACCACCTATATATTGTATTTTAAGGTGCAGACTAAGCATCATTCCAGGTGATTTGAATATCAGCAAATTATTAAGATACTACATTCTGGTGAGCCCATGTTTCTGTGTGGTGGTAGAAATCAGATTATTCTTGTTTAGATCACACAGAAGAGATAATACTTAGCCAAGTCAGTCCACTTACAAATAGGAGTCTAGCAGAGGATCAGAATAAGTTGCAAAGTTGAGCCACCTTGGGTTCCCGGAGTTGGGAGAGGACTGACCTTCAGTGATAGAAGGGGTTGAATATATTGTATATAGATTTGAAGATGTGTGAAGTTCTTTTCACATCTAAATGTGCTTTCCTCTTATCTGCCAACAGGTACAACTGTGACTGCTTTAAGATTGTTTAAGAATCTACCTGTAAGAAAGCAATTTTACTCAACTGCTAAAAAATGTAAAGATGAAATAAAAAAGATCCAGGATCTCCTCATAAGCTATGGTATACTTAAACCTGACTTAAGGATTGTTTTTATACATAACAAGGTAAGTATTATTATGTTTCTATAAGAGTTTTCGGTATATGATATTATAAAGGCACAATTTTATCAAAATCAGATATGTAAAGTCTTCTTGCAAAAATTTGTCCACATTTGTTTAGTTTATTATATAAAGAACCTCTTTACTTTCTTATCTGACATCTAGATGAAATCTGATTGAACCTTTCATAATTTCTGAGATCAGGGATTTTGCCAGTAGACATCCAAGAAATATTTGAGTGCTACCTAAATATGCAGATGTATAAGACTTGTTCTTTTCCTTTAAGGAGTTCACAATTTAGTGACATTTTTCACCTTCTATTACAAACTGCTTCTCCTTTGGAAGAGTTTTTTTTTGTTTTTTTAAAGGAAACTACCTCATTTCTTCCCAGTTTTCAAGTGAGGCTGATTAAGAAATTCTTGTTGCTTGATGAATCTTGATAGAATGAAAGGTATTTTCTGATTATTCTGTTTTTCATAAAATTCCACATGTGCACTTGAAATATTTAAGAGAGGAAAGCACAAGTATGGAAACCCAATAGGGAGTTGAGAGTTAACATTTATTGAGGCCCTACACAATGCTACATCATATTAAACTCCTATGATCCACAGCAACAACTGAGTGAAGTAGACATATCAATTTACCATTGTCCTCTGGACTGAACTCAAGAGAGGTTTAATACTTTGCTCTGTGTTGCACAGCTAGTAAATTGTTGAGATGGGATTTGAAACTTAACATGCCTACAGAGTGCAGGCTATTTCCACTCTGCTGTCTTGTCTTTTCATTTGAATACCTTATGTATATATAGTTCTTTTCCAGGTTTCAGAACACTTACTAATAACTTTGTAAGTTAAGCAGCATTATTTCTATTTGTAGGAGGAACTTAAAGCTCAGAGTAATCAAAGAAATTGTTATATACTTTACAGTAATTAGTAGTACTAGGGTCAGAATCCTTTTTCATCCAGCATTCTTTCTATACTGTGTCTATTTACTTGTTATTAAGATGATTCTGTCTTAAACCAAACCATGGTGGAATATTTATGATCAAAATCTTTGGTCATTTTAAAAAAAAACAGAAAAGAAAGAAAAACATTAAGATTAGTCAGCCACCTATTCCTGCTACCATAGAACTCAACCACATGATACCTTGAGATCTCTTCCTGCTCTACCATGCTATGATTCCTCAGGATGTTGATAGATGGAGGCTCATCCCGATAGTATAAATAACCCTATGACCTCTTTATCCAAAGGACATTTAGCAATTAAAAGCTGAATATACCCAAGTTAAGAAAAGATCAAGGACAGAAGAAAGTGATTGGGAAGGGAAAACATATGAAAAAGGTAAAATATGAAGATAGGAACTTCTTGTTTTTAAAGAAAAGCAACAATAAGGAGAAAATAGAATAAAACAAGATTTCTGCCTCATGTAATAGAAATGAGTATTTAAAGTCAAATATATATATTTTCTAAGTTTTGGATAAGTTTATATTATTTTCCAACCACTGTACGATCACCAGTACAGGCATTATCTTTTGAGAATGGAAGGTAGTATTTTATAATACGCTGCATTTTATTATTTTTTGAGGACAGCACATCTGAACTTACATTGAATAAACACAAGCCCCTTGATAGCCTTCAGTAATTTCAGATTCAGTTCAAATCCTAAAGAGTATGCTGAGAGTATTTTACCATGAAAATAATGTGAGATTATCAAAAATCTTACAGTAAAATTAAGTATTAGTATTATTACACAAGATCAAGGACTGAATTAGAACAAGCACTCTGTCTTCAAGCTTCCTTCTCTTAGTACAAATTATTGTGCCACTTTTTTCTTTCTTAGTAGTGCTTTTGTGCCTCAAATGCTGAAATATATTGTTAAACCTCCCAGAATGGCAGTGGCACATATCATAAATCTCTTTGAAAATTGAGTCCTGCTCTCCTCTTAGCCTTTTCTTTTAAACATATTTATCATTCTTTATGTGCTTTTCAGAAGAATTTTTTGCCTTTGCTTGAAATTTAAACATGACTATATTGACATCTTTTCTTGAAATTTTTTTCTGCTTTATAAACAATCATATTGCACATAATATGAGAAGTACTATTGCTATTTTGACATCTTGGATTAGATAGTGTTCCTTCTTTTTATGAAGGTTTAACCTGCCAAGACATTCTTTGAATACTGATAATGTTGATGTTCTTGCCAGTATGGTTATGTTAGAAAGAGGTATTTTTCTTCTTTCATCACCATGTTCCTTGAAAGCATATTGAATAATGAGACAGCCAAAGGGAAATAATTTACAAGTGGATTCAGTGACTTTATTTAAAGTAGATATTATTTGGAGAAATGTTAGAGCCATTCCTTAAACAAGCACTATAGTCTTCAGCTTTAGTTGTAATAACTGAATTCCTATGAAGTCCTGCTGTGTATATTTTCATTTATAATGTAGTTATTTCCTAGAACTAAAAAATTTTCTCAGTGTGATTATATGAAACCAATTTCGTATTCTAGCTCTTTCATATATGCATGAATAGTTCTGTAGACGACTAGTTTAGAATATAATGTTAAATTGTGATTTCAAATAAGGGGTACTTTCATATTTCATGGTTGTTGGTTTTTGTGAATGTTTTCTTCTGCCTAAAATACTATTTATGGTTGTAAAAATTGTTTTGAATTGAATTTTGTCTTGATAATTAGAGGCCCACAGGTATTGAAAAGCTGAATTGGATTATCATTGATACCAGAAGGTTTTAACTGTTACAAGAGAATAGTAATTAAGGAGTGACTTTCCATCTACCTACCCTACCTCCATGTCACATTAGTCTGAAGGCTTATTGGGATCAGTTTATTTTTAAGGTCTGGAAGAATGATGACACAGCTTTGAAGAGTTGAATATCTCTGGCATCAGTCAATCTGGGAAGAGGCAGGACCTTAGCTGAAAACAGAAACCCAGAAAACTGGCCATAGAGATTTGGTAGTGTGTGTAGTGGCTTCCTCTCTTGACATAGTTTTCTGGGTCACTAGGAGGGTACTCTTTTGTGGTGGTGGCTGAAGATGTAGGAGGAAGGGGGTGACCAAGAATGAGAAAGAAGGGACATGTTTATTAGATTATAAACTGAAGATTAAAAAGTAGTAGTTTATAATATGTATCCCCAACATTCATGATATTCTCTTTGTTCATTGTATTATTATTATTTTTTTTTTTGTAACTCTTAGCCTTTTACACAAATATTGTTAAATGTCTCAGTTTTGTTTCAGCTGTACTATATGAGGAATCAAGAAAAAGTCCACAGTTGGGCCAGTATTACCCACATCCCAAGCAAGGTTATGGAGGCAGTATAGTCAACAGGAAATTCCAGTTCAAGACTGTAGTTCAAATGCCCTTTCCTTAAATTCCCTTTCTTTCTTCTAGTTCCAACTTTGAAAGTTTGAGTGGGTTTTGTTTTTTGTTTTGTTTTTAATTAATGAAGGTGGAGGTCCATTCAGATATAGTTTTCAGGTTAGCTTGAGGTTGATTATCAGTCTTGATTGGTTGGTTGGGATTTTTTGGTGATGTTGTGTTTTGTTTTGTTTTTTTGCTGCCTGCAAATTAATGATAACTAAATTCTTTAAATGGTTCTGTTTTTTTCTTTATTATATTCTTTTACTTTTTACCTAGTTTCTGTTAACTTATATAGAAAAGATGAAAGACATACATAAGTCACATTTTATAGTAGTTTATTTTAAGCTTATTTATTGTTTTTATTTTTAATTTATTTATTTTGAGAGAGAGAGAGAGAGAGCGCACACACACACACACACACACACACACACACACACACATGAGTGGAAAGGGGCAGAGAGAGAAGGAAACAGGGAATCCCAAGCAGACTCCATGCTGTCAGCACAGAGCCCAACACAGGGCTTGATGTCACGAACCGTTAAGATCAGGACCAGAGCTGAAATCAATAGTCAGATATTCAGTGGAATGAGTCACCCAGGCACCCCTACTGTAGTTTATTTTTTATCTTGATGTTTATCCATACTATCCATATTGAAGGAATCTCTGAGTTCTTCCCCTATCCCCAGCAAGACATAGTTATTCTTCGTCGTCTTCTGTAACATTATTTACATATTTCTATTATGTCATTTTTGCTTTGTTGGCAATGATTTGTGTACTGTCTTTCCTTCTCAGCAGACTCTTGTGGGAGGGAGAACTGCATCTAATTCATATTCCCCTTAATACTCAGTTTATAGCACACAGTAAAATACTAAATGAAATACATGGTGCTAAAATCAAAATCACAAAAATTTATAAAGCTCCAGTTTTGAACACTCTGGCCTCTTTCAGAACAGGCGTCACTGGAGAATCCAATAGGATGAATCCTCAAAAAAGGATTCATTTTATATAATATGAGGATTCATCCTTTTAGATTCTTCAGTGACCTCTTAGATATTTACAGAGTATATTCTCACTTGTATTCATATATACTGTTCTAGTCTCTTTTCTTGGCATGTAAGTCGTTGATATGTCTTCATTAGAACTAGTTAGGAAATACATAAAGATTGCATGGAGGGACAGTGAGTGGGAAACACTTGACAGGGACATAGTCTTTAAGTTATCAATTTAACATATTTTGTTTCTATTAACTTAGTTAAATGGAACTATATGATTATTCCTTTACAAATTCTCTAACCAAATACATCTTACAGTTACTATTTATCCTAATACATTTCTCTACTTCAAAACAGTAGATTTCTCTTCTGATCAGTAATTTCCAGAGAATTCTGCACAAATCTAGCTTTTTGAGCTTAGGCCAGTAAAAGTTGATCACATGATCTCTAAGGCCCTTTTCAACTCTAAACCTCTTTGATTTTTAAGGATGTCTACATAAATCTTAAGCACTTCATTTCTTAAAAAATTGGAGCTTCACATTTCCATCACTTAGAAGTTCTAAGAAGGTGATTTATATATCAAATCACAAAATATAAGCATTTATGCCTCCTAGATTTTTAGGTCTTTACATCT